GGCATTAGAATCAGCTTCTACACACATGTAGAAAGGGTGAACCCCATAGAGGTTGGCTAATGGCTGAAATACAAACAGCGCATTAGGTATGGCTTGACTTTGATATTTTTCATATTTTCTGTTAGCTAGGTACATATGGAAAGACAAGGAAATAAATTCATTCATAGTTAGAGACTTGTTTTGAAAGGTTGGGGATTTTTTCATCTAAGCTGCTATGAAGTCGAATTGATAGAAAAGAGTTATATTTTTCTGCCTCATCATGATAATACTTTTTAGTCTCCCCTAAAAAGTTAAACCTTCCATACTCTGCCAAAACCCTCAAAATGACATGGGTAAGAACTGCTTTGCTAGTTAAAACAGACTCATCAACCACTGACTCCAGTTTAGCCGAACATCTAATGGGTCCGGCTGAAGTCCAGCTTGTTTGAATGAACAGGGATTGAACCAAGCATGAAATTAAATGCTTTCCTGAACCAGGATCTTGGCACACAAAATACTTTTTTTCTGAAAACTAACTGCATCGTGAGAAAGCTTCTGATAAAAGGTTTCAAAGTCCCCTCAAAATGACTCATGGTTTTGTCATTTAATTAAAACTTAAGACACCTGTGAAATGTATGACATTCTGTCTTTGGCACTGATTCACATTAGCAGTGCTACGACACAGAGAGAGGTGCTCCCTCAGCAAACCTCACCAACTCCTTTTGGTGATACAACTTAGGACAAAAAGCGTTGCACAAAGCCAATTACCTCTGGTGCCTGATCTCTGCTGAACATGCCATAGGTAATGAAGTCCATGCTGTGTTTGAAGGATGGGTGCTCATGTTCACCAAACCCATACACCGAAGTGGATGGCACAGTAGTTACAATCTGAAGATACTGGTTGGAGAAAATCAGATCAGAGAGGGGACTGTCCCACCTGCAACAAACAGAGGGAGACACGATTGCTTTGCTTCTCTTTGGTATGCACCATTTGAAGTTCACATCTGCCTATTTATATGTTTTCTGTATTTTGGAGACTAACAAAAAAAACCCCCACAACATTAAATTCTGTGCAAGCCTCTTACATGCTTAACCTAACACACACCGAAGTCATCTTGCAATAGCTGCAGCTATCTCATCTACTGATACAATAAAATGCATCAGTATAATTTTGAAAGGAACAACTAAAATAAGAGAAGACACTATCTATAATCCTATTACCAAAATAAGTGGTTGCTTGTGGTATTTCTATGACAACCAACAGGGCAGGCTAAAAATTGTTATTACGCAGTGGGGTTCAGAATCCTTAATGGGAACAACAGGCATTTAGTGTTACCAGTTTTTACTTTCTAATCTTTTGCTGGATCAGGACCCAAATAACTCGTTACCCCTACTTTATGCAGGAGCCTGAAGCAGAGGGGTAGCTTCCTCTGGACTGCTTGAATGAGATGTTTTTAATGTGATGACTTTCTTACTTCTCTCACCAGTTTAATGCCTTGATTTCTACTGAATCATCTGTGGACACAGGCTCACATTTTAATTAGGTGTTACATTCTGTTTCCTATCTCTCATGCTATAATGAGCTGCAAGCTAGATGGGGGAGAATATAGTCAAGCTGTGGAGAAGTGTTTTGTTAATGGTACTGTGTATGCCATGAGTACCACATTTTGATAGCACCCTCTCGAGCCTTGTTTAACCATGAATTTGTTACAGCTAATTAAAATAAATGAGCCAAAGCCACAGAGCATAGAAGTGGCGTAACTCTCCTTTTAATGGTCTTTTGTCAATGATTTTGACAAAATTAAATAGTTGATCAAATTGACCAGTAAATCAGAGCAGTGGAAGATGGGCTGGGTTATCAGGGAGCAGCACTACCCTACAAGAGATGCACTCCCTGGTGAGCCCTGGCTGCCACCCATGCCACCAGCACCTCTGCCTGGGGACAAGTCCCCACTGGTGGGGGACTGGGAGGACACAGCTGCTCCCACCACACTAGCCGCTACTCAAGGAAGCAAGGACAGCCACTCACAGGGATGCCCAGAGGTGGATCCAAGGCACCCTCCTGCCTCTCCATGCAAAGCGGGCACAATCTGTCCCTAAAGTGTCCTAGTTTTAAGTCATGCACACATAGTGAAGGGTCTGTGTTATTTTAAAGAGATCTATTTGGTATTTCTCACAAGCAGGAAAAGTAAGAATTTGTATTTAAATCTTGATTTGGTTGTTTGCCAGCAGCAACTCTCCCTCTTCCATCATCTCCTCCACCTACATGCGGTACTGAATGAGGTTATTTTTTTATAGGAAGGTTAATGCATGCAAAATATCCCTGAGAATCAGATCCAGCCCTTGGCAAACAGAGGCCTTTCTGCAAGAGGCTGCTGCTGTGTAGGAACAGGGATGGGCTCTGTGGAGCTATATTCCTGTCCAAAGGAGCGCCGTCATGTAGCTCTGCTCTATGCCAAGGCAGACACGGTCACTGCTCTGAGCAGACCATGGGGTTATGCAAAAAGCAAAGGATGCCAGAGGGGAGATGTTTTGGGAAGAGCTTAAATATCTGTCCTAATTCATTGAGCACTCTCCATGATGTCTGTTGAGAGGACATGAGGCTTTGTACATTCATGGTATCCACATTACAGCACTGACATTTCCCATCATGAGAGCAATTAATGTTACCATGGCATTAAAAATGCTCCTTCCACTCAGCAGAGGAGGGTCACTGGGGCAGAGCAAACTCCAACCCTAGGAACAACCCCTCTGCCCCACGTGTCTTTCAATAGCATGGAGAAACTGTTTTATACCTCATGCATTCCCTCAGGCCACTGTCACACGCTCAACTTCTGCATGGCACGACCGAAACAGTGCCCTGCTCTTCTTCCCTCCATCACTCATCTCCCCAGGGGCTGATATTCCCAACAGTGCAGCTCCCCATGCTGTGCTGCCAGCAGCCATCACTCTCCATCAGCCTCATCTTCCCTTACACCTCTGCTTACCGCAACAATATATAGCATTAACTGTGACATAAGAAGACTGATAATGACTCTTTCCTTTCCCTGGGCGCCATTTTGTCTTCTCCATCTGAAGGAAAGCACTGACTTGTTTTCCCCTGGCACCTCTTTCTGCCTTCACTCCCAAGTGGCTGCCCTTGTGCTCTGCAGCACACTGGTAAGATGTGTTACTCTATGTGTTTGCTTGTGTTGTGTTGGCAAAAAGCAATCTTTTAAATGAGAAAAAAAGAGATGTCTGAAACACTTGGAGACAATAAAAAAACGTTATATTTCTCCCACCTCTCCTCCTGCTGATTTAAAGCAGAGAGAAGGAACCAAACAGAAGGGAGCAGAAAATGACATTATGTGCGTGGTTCTCCGACAGTTCTACAACCCATAACAGTGCTGTGATGGACAACAGAAGGGATGTGAAAAAACCTAAAAATACAGCTGAGAAGTTGTTCACTGTCAAAGTCAACCCCTACCAGCAATTAGACATGGCAAAGCCTTGAAGAGGAGGAGCCTTTCCCGTGCACAAAAGGTAGTAGCTGCACTCAGGTTCACGGCTGGAAGTCCTAAGCCTTTAGTGCCTCTGTGGTGGGAATGCTCCTGCCTGTAGAAATACATCCCACATGCCTGCCTGGCCCATTGCCTGCTAAAAGCTGCCTGCTGCCTGTCTGGTAAGTCTGCCTTCCCAGCTAGTGTTTTCTTCCAAGCACCATGCACTGTACTCAAGAGTAATGTACCTTAGTAATATGAACTGGACATGACAATTGGCTTGGTTGAATGACTTCACTCTGTTTATGTTTAGTTGAGACCAATAGCTGTGGTGTGAGCAACATCTCAGAGCATGGACCCACCTGCCATGAGCAAGCAGCTGGTGGCACTTAAGAAAGAGACTTGGGAAACATGTATGATGTATCATTAGGACATGCATCATGCATTATCTGGACACTCAAACATCATTTTAGGTTGGGGGAGGGTTTTTTTTTTTCCCATCTTGTTGCAATGAATCCTGGAGAAATAAACTGATTTCTCTAAGGTGCGAACACCAGTCCCACTCAGATGCTTGAAGAAAATGTCTTCTCTAACATCTGATTTTCTTGGCCTCCAGACCCTTTGGAAACAGCAGCCTTGTGAAAGTGAGCACACTGTATATATTATCTGTGTGCAAATTCAGGTGGAAACTTCACATGGCTACCATAGGTCTAAGCCTCTTGGTAGAGCTTGGGCATACCTTTTCAGAGGGCACAGACTATTGCTCTATGAGCAGGCTGCCTATAAAACAGAAAAGGACCATAAAGGCTGAGGAGTATAGGCCCTGTTTTTAGATGAATTTCAAATATACTTTGCTGCTGTCTGAGGACTGGCTGAGTATCAGTCAGTTGATGACGAACAATTGTTTTCATTTGCATCATTCATCTTTCTTGGGTTTATTTATCTTTCCTTGTTACTTTATTTTTATCTTTATTATTATTGTTACTATTATTGTATTTTAATTCTTAACCTGTTTATCTCGACCTGTGAGTTTTCTCACTTTTACCCTTTTAATTGTTTTCTCATCCATCCTGCTGGATGGGGCAGTGAGCAGCGGCTGTGTGGGGCTCAGTAGACATCAGGGGTTAAACCATGACACAGTCTCACAACAGCCATATCCCTTATTAGCTGTAAGTCTTGGAGAACCGATGGACTGCAGAAGGCATATAAAAAATGAATTTTTATATGCTCATCTTTCTTTTAAGATGATTTATCAAATAGGTAGAGAAAGTCAGCATGAGTAACCAAAAGATTTTCCACAAACATGACATTTTAAAAGAAAGAATTGCAGATATATTTAGTTATTGACACAGTTCTGCTCTAATTCTACTGTATTCTTCGTCATGGTATCAGGGCATCTCTTATAAGTGGCTGGATATATAATGCTTTGCTTTTGTTCTGAAAAACACTTGGATAAGTGGTATACCTACAATATTTCTTGCCTGCGTAACATAAATCTTAATGATTAGAAGACTAAAACAATGGCTTTTACAAACTAGATGCAAACCCAAGTTACCCATGATGCACACAATTTGCTCCTGTTGCTTTCAGCAAAATTGCAGTTTAAGACAATAGTGTTATAAATCATTCTAATAGCCTTGCCTATGTAAAGATGTCTTCATGGTAAGTGGTGTCTGTGCTTACTACCACAATCAATAAAAAAGGCAGCTGAACTCTGAAGCAGCCTTTTTGGAAATTGGGGGAAATCTTGATTAGATTGTGGTTATTTGTGCTGTATCTTCCCAAGTGTGATAGCAAACAAGGCATTCCAAACTCTTAATAGAGAGAAAGGAGCACTTATCTGGCTTGGAAAAAACGTTCTGCCTTCCATTATTCATATGACATCATGAAGCAAAAGTCAGATGGAGAACGGATATTACAGTGGAGAATCAAATCAATAGTCCATCACTCTGCAGCCTGTCTCCAGCAACGGCCCAGGCCAGATATCACAGAGGAAGGCATAAGATGCCACTCAGAACCAGTCTTGCAATAATCTGCTTATGGAGGAAGTTTCTGGCTGTTTTCATAGAATTGTGTTGTGAAACATGGAGACAAAAATAGTTGTTTTGGGTTTTTTTCTACAGATGATTTTTTTATTATGCGTGAATGTGCATCCTGCTAAGCCTCCCGTGTCAGCACACCCTGGGGCAACGAGTCCTGCAGAGTAATCATGCACTGCAAAATGAGGATGTCTTTGTTATTTATCGCTGCCTTAAAGCAAACAGTTCCCAGCCTTTTATGCTCTGTTCTTGAGGAAATCTACGCTTTCTTGAAGCCTCCATGCTTATACTTGATGCTACCTCCTCCGAGGGTTGCTGCTTTTAGTGGCAGGAGCAGAAAGGAGAGTAGGACACAACCTGAGATCGCATGCCATGAAGTAACACAGAGGCTATGTTTTGCTCTCTCACTCACCTGCCTTATTACAACCCAATATTTTCTCTCTATTTTTATTGCTGTAGGTTTCTGCAGAACCCCATCTAATTTTCACCCCATGCAGGTGAAGCAGCAGCTGTCACCTGATTACCTTGGATCAGGATAGTGGGACATGGCCTTTCTTCCTTGCTGCTGGCTCTGCATGTTTGCAGACAGCTGTTAATGTCTCTCCCCTCACATAATTCATTCCTCTCCCCTGTTATTGTGGTTACATGGAGCCCTCAGTTTGTCCTGCCCTCCTTGAGCTGGCACTTGGGTACCTCAGCTACAGAAATGGCTCCTCGCATGCAGCAGGCAGGAGAAGTGCCTGCAGAGCACATTCAGGAATACCTCAAAGTCTCCACTGCCTCTCCCTTGCATTATTTCCAACGTGGTATTAAATCATTCTACGCAGGAAGGAGGCTTTGTGCATGTGAGTGGCAGAGCTGGGATGGGGTTTTAAATCAAGCAGACAGATGTGTATCTTGCTGTCAGCTCCCCCATCACTGCAAAGTCTGTGGCACAAAGACACTAACAATAGGATAGACTGCATCATGGAAAGGAGGGGAGGCAAATATATGCATGGACTTGGAAAGAACAACCCAAACCTATACCTGGGTTCTGCCTGAGACACGCTGCTCCCTCTCCTGTGGAGGAGTGCCATGTGGACTCCTGTGACATGTGGACTGTCAGCCAGAGCATGCTGGGGATCATGAGGGATTTTGGGTTTTTTGGGGGGTGGGTCATCCAAGAGTTTGCTGGTGAGGGATAAGGAGTATCATGTAAAAGAGATTTCTGAGGATGTGGGATTGCTTTACAATAAAAAAGCCTTCTTCAGAGGTGTTAGAGAAGTCTAGCAGAGCACCATGACCTGGTTTGGTGTAGACATGAGTTATGATCCACCCACACCCAGGGAGTGCAACTACAGCAGCTGTGCGGAGGCTTTGTTTGCCCACATCAGCTCTTCTGAGCAATGGTTTTGTTCATACAAAGATTAACTAGTGGTTCAGCTGTTCATTGGGACAGCAAGGCCATGGCCATTCGCATCTTAAAATAGGAGGCTGGAGTCCCTCCAGGTGGTAGGTGCTCGCCTGTTTCTCAGGAGCACTTGCCTACACAGCCTGCTCTAACCTGGCACAGCCACAGAGGCACCTGAGTGCAGTTCTGTGCTGGAACACAGACATGCTGAGTGTTCTGGAACAGCAGCTCCCACCTCTGCAGGGAGCTCAAAGGAAAAAATTTGGGGTTTAGCATCTTCTTTGCAGACCGCACTTGGGACAGGGGACAAGGCAATGACGAAGATGCTCTGCAGCAGTTCCTGCGGAACCCTTGCCACAGCCACGGAGCATGCTGAGACCCACCTCCCAAGCATCCAAACCTGCCTTCAGGCAGGCTGAACTAACATGAAAATCTACTTAACATGCCAGATGCCACCAGTGCTCCCCTGGACCCAGCCAGCTAGTGCAGTCACTGGTGGGGATGCTCCTGTAACATTGCTTGCTGAGGGTTCCTCCTCCGCAGTCAAGCAAATGCAGCTGCCCATGGCTTTTAGGTCAGGATATGTAACCTGCCTTTCTGTTTTGAAAGATTTCCATCTGCACAGCTCTTCTGGTGGCGAAGGAGGTTGCAAAGCCCTCCAAGCCAGGCTGTGGAGGCGCCCCTGAACATCTGCATTCCCCCACCCTGACAGGACAGACAGGCAAGCAAGAGAAAGGGAAGCATTTCTGCTCCTCACTCAAGGAACTTCGCTGCGAGTGCTTCGCCGATGCTACTAACCAAGACTGCCCTCTACCTCCCCGGGCTCCGAAGCGCAGCGCTGCTGCACCCCAGGCCTGCGCCGCTGCTGAGCGCAGGTTCTGGGGGACAAAAGGGGTGCCTCACTCACTGCCGGGGTATGGAGGAGGCTTCGCCCGGCCCGCGGTAGGCCAGTGAATGTGCCCTCCTGGAAGCCTGCTCAGCAGGGACCGACTTGTGCTCCTCTGCCTCTCGCTGCACATTTGGCAGCTCAACAGATCAAACCTGTGTCCGCTTCATGGCAGGCCCCTTCCTTTAAGTGGGATGCCCGAAGTTTGAGGATGCCCTGACTAACCGAGACTAAGCCCTTGGGGTTTGGGTGAAGATGTGGAGGGCTGTGTGGGAACAGGCTATGAGCTAGCTGCTCACCTTGTCTTGTTATGCATTCCCCTCTTATATCACCATCCCAATTAATGAGCCTTTACAAAAAACCCTCTTCTTACAAAGAGACGAAAACTGGGCTCCTAATGTAAACCCGTTTTCACAAAGCTGTTAAGTCTAACGAGGAGTTATATTATTTTTGTTATCAGAGTAATGCATAATACATCCACTTACAATAGCTTGGAGAAAAAAACCCACTAAAATCTTCACAGAATTGACTGCAATATGTAGAAAAAGAGATGCCACGAGACTATAGTTTAAAAGGATGGGCAGCTAATTAAAAACCTGGTGTGGTAGTTCTGTCTGCAGACTCAAACCATTCTAGAGGCTGTTTTGTCTTGCATCACACATGTTAAGGCACCCTTACACTGCTTGCAAAGATAATGCTTGTATTTTAAATCTGTTTAACAAAGAGTTTCTTGGGAGGGGTGAAATAAGCTGATTTTTTAATTACTTGATCCCAGTGGTCAGGGAATGTGCTTACACTAGTGGTGGGTGCAAGACGGGCAGAGCTGGTGCTGAGCACGCAGCGGCCGCACACGTGTTGGGGCTTGTTCTGAAGCAGGCTCTCAACAGCCATATCACAGTGCGTGTGCTCCCAGAGCACATCTCCTGACTAGTAAGGCCACATGGAAGGACCTAATCCATGCTCCTCAGAACCACTACAAAGTCAGCCAGTGCACAAGAGTTGGGTATAATCAGGAGATTCACATCTAAAGGTGCTGCTGATTGAATGAATAGACACAAACACAGCCCGATGCGAACGGTACCCATATTTCTATGTTCTGTGTGTCTCCTTCACCTGCCTGAGTCAAGCAGTGATAACCCAGAGCAGTCTGTAACACTGTCATTTGCACCACAGCCAGCCAGAGGCTGCTGCTGATGTCACGCTGTGGCACCCCCGAATGCAGCTGGCAGGAGTGCACCTTGGTTGGGACTCTCTTGCCAAGTATTATTACACACTAAAGATGCGTTGGTGGAAGCCAAGAAAATGGGAAATTATGACCCCTGGTGACCTTTGCTAGTGGAGGAGCTTTTGCTGACGTTAACTGACAGTGACAGCTTGAGAATACAACTGTATTTTTGTAGTGACAAACTACACCCACAAATGCCATTTGCTGAAACCAGTGGCAGTTACGGACCTATGGCCTCTGTGGATTTGAGCTTTAGTGTCCTAGACCTACCTCTTGGAGAGTGTGAGGAGATTTGGTGCTCAATTTCTGATGTATTAAAACACCCCAAATTTCAGAAATCTTCAGTGCTTTCACAAGTTGAGCCTACCAGTGTCCCAAGCTCTGAAAGCATAACCTCAAAAGCTGGCTTGCTGAATAACATTTTGTACATGCACAAAGATAATTGTCTGTCACACAGGCACATACTCCTATTAATAACGAGTATTTTCCAGGGACAAGGCATAAAGCCGTGTTTATGACACATCCTGTTTGTGCTTGAGCCTGTGTCACAGAGACCCAAGTAATCAGCTGAGAGGAACTGGTGCTTAATTTCTGCAAAGAGCCATGTGAATCACATCTGGTACTCACAGCACAGTGCCGGTGCTTTTCCTCCTGATCCTGAGGTGTGAGGAGTCATCCGTGAGCTCCACGTCATAGCTGGCCTCATCGGCAGTAACCCCAGGGGAGCTGATCTTGAGTGGGACTTCAAACCGCTGCCTGTTGGGGTCATAGAGCTAAAGCAAGGCAAGGAGGAGGCAGGTTAGCTCATTCGTTAGCATTGGTTAATTAGCACACATCCCCCAGATACTCACCCTGAACCGGAGTCTGTCCTTTGTCTGGAACTCCACTTCCAAGACGACTGGAGAAATGTCATTTCCGAAGAGGGACAAGGCCTGGTGCTTGCTCAGCGTTACCCTGTGGTAGAAACACGTGCTGGTGCCCGCTGCAACTGCTCACTCTCTGCAACCACCATGGCACAGACTGGGGGGGATCAACTTGGCTGTTCTACATCAGCTTTTACTAAATAACTCTTTGACTTACCAAGAGAAATAATCTCTGAGGTTAGTTTAGGCTCTCCTTGCCATTAATGGATAAAATAGGTACTACTGCTTTCCTGGGACACAGATCCCAGAGCAGGAGGGACCATACTGTACCACCACTCCGTTTCCTCACCAGCAGCATGGTATGAGCAGACAACCCCAACTCTACATGGCTTATATGCAAGGAACTACGTCCATTATCCTTGTTGTCACAAGCTGAGCGTGGGATAGAGACTTAAATATTAGGAAGAAGTTCTTGACTTCAGATTGCCCAGAGAAGCTGTGGCTGCCCCATCCCTGGCAGCGTCCCAGGCCAGGTTGGACACAGGGGCTTAGTGCAAAGTGTCACTGCCCATGGCAGGGAGCTGGAACTGAATGATCTTTAAGGTCCCTTC